GTCCGACGAGAAGTAAAGTAAGAATTGGAATTTGCAATTCGCCGGAATTACATAAGAATAATCCAACCAAAGAATTTAGCTCTGAGATTTTCGCAATAGTTCAACGAGTCAAGCATTTTCATTTCTTTAAGAGTACTGCCTAGCTTAATTTTTAAAAAAATGTGCAAAAAGACACAACTAGTAAATAATAAAAAAACTACTTCTTAATTCATTTCAAGCATCTATAAGGCTTGAATTTTTTTGTTTGGTTTAAAAGGATGTGAATGGAATATCCATTGATAAAAGCTTATAATTTTTTGAATTGGATCATTCTGGCATAACAATGACCAATTGAAATTTCGACTTGGCAAACTTTCTTCTTATCGGATTGTTTCTTGATGATATATTAAACTGATATATTTCAACATGTCATATTTATATGTTCTATATATGTTATATATGCTTTTTTATGCCCTATATATGTTTTATATATGCCCTATGTATGTTCTATATATACTATTTGATTAATATAGTTTATAACTTGTTATGTCGTATTATATATGACATACTATCTCTTCGGAGATATTTTCTTACGCATACGTGTTTGTTGTTGATAAGACAACAAATTAAAGACAACAAGTTAAATTATTAATCCGAGACTCGAACTGAAATGTTTCGATTTCTCACTAAATTATTAAGACAAGATTCGGACCCGAGTGTTTTGAGATTCCGCTAAACCATTAAGCCGAGATTCGAACCGATATGTTTTGAGGCTCCGCTAAATTATTAAGCCGAGATTCAACAAAAATGTTTTGTGTTTCCGCTAAATTATTAGGCCGAGTTTCGAATAGATGTGTTTTATGTTCCCGCTAAATTATTAAGCCGAAATTCGAACCGAAGAGTTTTGAGTCTTCGCTAATTTATTAAGCCGAGTTACTTAAACCTAGGATAATTTCTTAAAGTTTCTTAAAGAAATTTTCGCGTTTGCAAAAGATATATTTTCGAAAATGAATTTTCGAAATTACGTGAAGTGTGCGTATTTCGCTCTGCATTGTTTCTTGGATGACAATGCGTGTTAATGTGTGTTTGTGTCACTCTACTCCCTCATTAATACGTCCAGAAACTTAAAAATAATTTTCCAGTATCCCAAAGTTGCGGCCGTAACGTTAGATTCATCGTAGCGATATATTCGGATTCTCGCGCATGAGCTGTGGTATTTATTCTGCACATGGAAAGTCGCCCATTTTATTGCTCCCAGGTTATTTAGATCATATGGTGTTAACACATAAAGTATATTTTGGGATAATATTTTACTGTTTTAAGTAATTTTCGAGTTTGCAAAGATATATTTTCGAAAATGAGATGAGTTTTGATTGTATCGCTTTGCATCGTATCCCGGATCATAGAGTGCCTCAGAGTTACTTTCTTCCTTCAATAATACGCCCAATATGTTGAAAATAATTTTTCAATATCCCAAAATCGCATTCATAACGTTAGATCCAACTTAGCGTCGTACACGGAAAAAAAGGTTTGGTTGAATTAACCAAATATCTGGTCGATATCTGATCGAATATGAACGATCCAGAAATTTCAATTGAAGTAACTCGAATTCTGTTTAAGTCAACTAAAAATCTTGTTAACTTAAACAGAATTCGGGTTACTTCTATCGGAATTTCTGGATCGTTCATATTCGACCAGATATTTGGTTAATTCAATCAAACCTTTTTTTCCATGTAGAAAATTCGTATTTTCGGGTTGAAAACCGGTGATATTACTGCATGTTATTTAGGTTATATAGTGTTAGCATCTAGAACATATTCTAAGATAATTTTTTACAGTTTTTTAATGTGATTTTCGCGTTTGAAAAGATTTATTTTCGAGAATGACACAACGTGTCCGTATTTTGCTCTGCATCATACACTGAGAGAAAAGACTGGTAACTATAACAAACTGCATTTAGTTACAGAAATTCATTGAATCCTTAGTAACTAATACTAAATATGATAATAATTACCAAATATTTAATAGATCGGGAGTATGACGTAATTGCATTCACAGTAACATCAATTAAATAATTTAGTAATAGTTACTTAATGTTAAATATTTAATATGAAATATATTACAGTTATGAGCAGATATTTGATAATTGTTATGAAATTATTATATCCCATGTAATAAAAAATTCAGTAGGTACGAGTTCTATTTTGTTACCAGTATAAAAAATTAATTCATTTGCAGCTATTACATCGTTTCAGTATCTATTATTACAGATGGTTGGTTGAACCTACCGAAAATTTTGTAACTACTACAAAATCGCTTATTTTGCTCAACTATTCAATAAGTTTTATTTACCAAATATATTCTGGAAGCAAATAAATTTTACTTCTGTCAAATAAATAATGTATTTTACAGAACTAAATTAATTAATAAGTATTACCATAGCTTTGGCCCGCTATATTTACGTCTACCATTTAGTAATAATAACCAAATTTTGATAATATTTACTAAATTCTTCTCTCAGTGTGACTTGGATGACAATGTGTGTTAATATCACTCTACTCCCTCAGTAACACGCCCATATGTTGAAAATAATTTTACAATATCCCAAAGTTGCGTTCTTAACGTTGGATTCATTATATCTCATCATGTCTCACCAAATTTTCCCGCTAAATTATTAAGCCGAGATTCGATCCGATGTGTTTGGAGTTTCCACTAAACTATTAAGCCGAGATTTGAACCAAGTTGGTTGGTCTCCGGTATTATTCGTATTGTTATAAATTACCAATTCCAATAAGATGAATTGTGAGGCAGATAGTGCCCTTTGAATCACCTTAATATCTTTAGAGGTTGCCTTAGAAATGCCTAAAAAATGCAATCGGTAGAAAATAGCTGTCAGCAACGTTGAAAAGTACGCACGTTTCCATGGCGTATTTAACGAACCGTTATTAATAGTATTATTATAGTATTAGTATTATTAGTATTATTGTAAACTCTGAATTCTAACAGGATACATTGTGGAGAACATAGTTTTCTTTGAATTACATCGATATTTTTTGTGGCTGTCGAAAAATAAGCAAAAAATATTAGCGGCTTGTTTAAACTTGTATTTTTATTTATTATTCCATATTGTCCAGTTTCCAAATCCTTTTCCCTTAGAAAATTACGCAGAACGCAGCGCGAGAGAGACGAAACTGATGAGAGATGATTTAGCTTTACGATAAGTTTGCCACTAGCTCGCTTCGTGCCTATGTCGCGCGGTCCGCTCATCAGTAGTGAGACAAGAACAGAACGATTGGACGTCTGTTTTTTTCTAACTTAATATCATTGTACGGAAGTACAACGGGCACGAACCAGACTCATTTGATCGTTACTACCGCGAAAATGCGCCTAACAAACGTAGTAAAGGCGCACTTTGTTAAATGGCGTCTCGAAAATGCGCCTACTCTAGCCACTAAAATCAAGCTGGTGGCCGCTCTCAGGCTTCTCTTTGTTTTTATTCACCATGTAATTTCACCCTAAGTCTCGAACTACAATAGGTGTAGTAAGCTTTAAGCCTTAAGAAATTGAAACTAATCACATTTGAATTATAGAGGAATAATTAATTGTGATTAGTTAATTTTTTACAGCTTAAGGGGCTGAGCACAATAAAAAGAATAAAGAATAGGGAATCGAGAATAGAGAACAGGAAACACAGAAAATAGGGAACAATTCAATATTAAAACATGAAACCTAATTCGTAGAATAAAGGAATAGAGGAATAGTGTTGTTTCTTGTTTTCAGTATTCCTTATTCTCTGTTCCTTGTTCTTTATTCCTTTTATTGTTCTCAGCCCCTAAAGCTTATTACACCTATTATAGATTGAGACTTTCACACGGATAATGCGGCCGGAAGTGGACGAGCGTGTGATACTTGGAGAAGACTAATCAGTGCCATTTTCATAATAATTTTCGAATGGATCATGGCGCGAAAGTTGAGCAGTTTCTCCGTGCTTCTCGCGACTTCAACCAGCTGGGATCCGCGCGCGGATTATCGTCGTCGGGAGTGCCGCAAGTAAGTGTCGCGCGTACGTGGTGACGAGACGACGCGGAACGCTCGTCGGGAGCAAATATCACGAACGACAAAAAAGGGGTCCGTCGGGAACGCCGAGTCGGTGAAGTGCCGGGCGTTTGTCGCCATTACGGTGGTTCAAATCGCCGCTCTCTCTCCCTTTGCCGCGAGCAAGTTCGTTGTCGCGAGTATCCTCGGGAGTGTCAGGAACAAAGTGCCACGCGGTTGCAGTAATCGGGACAATCCAGAGATACGAGATTGCTGAGCTCTATGTTTCCCAGACGCTGAGGAAAACAGTGTCGCCGGTGAGTGATACTGACGAAGCGACGCTGCGATAGATAAAACACGACTTTTGCGTGTCGAGTTGCGCATATTCCATTTTTCTTTCTTTTTTTCGACGGTTTAGCAACTTCGTCGCGGGTCCCCAGTCCGCCTGTTCTTTGTAACTGAACTAACACTTTTGGAATTTAAAAAGAAACAGATATATAGCTGTAACTTAGTATAAAAAAAGAGAGGAAGAGAACTGGTACAGTTAGTTTTAAGTTGCAAAGAACAATCCAACTGTTTTCTACTTTTCTAAACGTATTGATCCTCTGTAACTATTCTCGCTCTTAAATCTCTTTTTGCCGATTTCACGCGGATGACTATCCAAGCAGGAGAAATTACTGTAGATTAAAATTCGACCGCTCAACACAGCGGCTTCTAACGAGCTTCGCTTACAAATGCAAATTAGATATAGAATGACCTGTGAAGTGTCGAAGATAAAGCGCGTAATTTAGAAATAATACTCGATATGCGTTTGGGGATGATACGGTTCGACAAAACCGAAGACTTCTCTCCTGAAATATTTGTAATCGACATTCAAGCGAGTATATCTCTTGTCAACGATGTTGGCTGAGGAAAGGTTAATTATCTGGTCGGTAAAGTAGGTCCTTGTAGGAGATTCACTGTTATCATGTTCGCGGTAGTTTCGTCTCGTTTCATACCGCCAGCTGGCGCCACAAAACAGTTGTGTATGGAAATTGTGGCATGTCGAAGGAGGTAGATTACAGACAAGTGTGCAAAAGTGCGATATTATAATTAATAAACGAAGAGAAGACAAAATAATTTGCACGAATAGTTGAATAACTTCAAGGTAATTATAATTATCGAACAACATTATGTGAACAATGTGCTACAATATCGATCTATATACGTGTTCTGAAGTGGGATTGATTATAACTTATGCAGTTTGTTTACCGGCTCTTTTTAATTGATTAACTTTTAGATTGGGAGATGACGACTCGAATGAAGGATTTCTTGACTTTTGTACGCTCTTATAGTACAAAACACTGGAAGTTTTCAGAGGGTGTGAAATATGGACATGTCACATATTATCCAAGGTAAGGTTATGTTGAGCGTATAATATGTGCTCCAGTTCTTTCAAAAGAATCCACTTGAATCTTTTGACATATATGCATTTATTATGTTTATATGTAAACGCACATGATATTAAAAAATTTAGTTCCTAGAATACTTCTTTATATTTGTAGACAATTAGTGTTAAATGATAGTAATTGATAAGGTAAAAAGTTGAAATTGTAAGAAATAAATGTTACAATATTAAAGGTGAAATCCCAGAAGGTTAAATTACATATTTATTAACGAGTTTACAGAATTTTGAAAAAAGTAACTGACTTGTGTGATTGATAAGTCTTGCAATGACAATTGTTGCTTTGGACATTTACTAAAGTATATTTATAGACATCCAAACCATGTTGATCCACCTATCACACCAAGCAAGCTTTTAATGGTGACACGAATGAAACCTTTATCTGGTCTCCCATACTGGCACAAGGATACACTTACAAAACAGCTGGGTTTTAAAGAACGGGTAATTCGAGTTGTCGATATTCATTAGGATAGTGTTCTGATGATTTTGTTATACCATTACTTAATTATTGTTTTCATACAGGGGAGGGAACCGATAATCGTTAAGAACACACCAGAGATGTGCGCCCTACTTTGGACAGTAAAGCATCTGGTGAAAATTGTACCCATAATATTGCCTGACAAGTTACCAACTGAGGATGACTTGAATGGCACGTATTTACATGAGAACGGTACATTTTCTGTCATACCAAAGATAGATTCTACACGTTATAAAGCTACGGATAAGTTTGTAAACAATCCCAAGAAACTAAATCGCAATCTCATATCAGAAAAACTGAGATTAAAATGGTTATCATATGGTTTTGTATACCAATAAAAGTAACATTATAGTTCGTTAAATAGTTTGTCAGAGTCGTTAATATTGTTATGAAACAAAAAATCTCAGGATTAAAATAATAACGATGTAATTGCAATCTTTTTAATCCAGTCGTCTCAAAAAAGACTGTTAGTATGTACAATACCGTTAAAAGGGAGATGGGGAGGGGGCATGATCGTGGTATATTTTCTACAGAAACATCTTGTAGAAAGTATGCAATACGAAAATAACACATTAACGAATAATGTGTTTTCACACGTTTAGAAACTACATTGCTTTTTACACTCTCTACACGTTTTCTGATACTTTCTTTTTAAACTACACACTTTATGCTGAGAGATAAAATATTCAAGGAATAAGAAATATTTATTTGCTGTGTGGGTACTAATAACATATTGTACTAATATATACAATATTTTTCACTTAAGAAAACATTTTCTTGGAACCTTAGTTTTCATGAGAACAGTTTATTCTATTTAAATAAAAGAATTTAGTTTTAAATAAATATATCATTAGTACTCACCAATAAATATATATATATTTTTTTTAGATATATATTTATCCTCTCAATACCAACATTCATTATTAAATCTTATTCTGAGTTTAAATCTTTGAACAGAGTTTAAACTCAAAGTTTAATCAATGTTAGTAGAAACAAGCGTAACTCTGCACTTTAAGAGGTACAAAGGAGAGACGGTTGAACAAATAATATAGTTTATTTATGTCTTGCGTATGCGGTCGATCGACCGGTTTACAACCTACTAACAATAATGTTAAAATTTCTGTGTTTTATCGTATTTATCTCTGTCCCGTATCCCCGGGTATATATCGTAAGATTCTCCAATTGATTTCAATTTGACTTCACCTTCTAACGGAAATTTAACCTGAGGTTCGTGTCGACGAGATACTCAACGTTGAAAATGAACAAGAGTTACAATAAACGTTCCAAAAGTCCAATTATGTCCCCGTTGTGATCGGGAGGTCTATGGCTGGAAGCCCGGTGGATCTGGGACGCGTCGTACGCGAGAGCAAAATCTATATGATGTTTCGCAACGGGATACCTTTGGCTCAGTTACACGTTCCTTCGATTTAGCCTTAAAAATTCAAAATAGTCAAAGAGTCTGAGAAACGCTGAAAATACGCATTTTCAAGCACATGAGAAGATAGGTTTACAATGCGATGAGTTTCGCTCAGTTTTCTTTCAAGTTCGATTGTCGACTAATGTATTCGTTTGTACATGCATACATTTTCAGCGCTTCAATTCGCCACAGCTGTCTCAATATAAATAACGTAATCACAAATTTAATTTAATCTAATTCAAAATTGTTTTATTCTCTCTCACATAACACTGCCGGCTATAATAATGATAATGATAATAAAAGCTCATATATGTGTGTACATGAAATTAAATTGGATTAAATTCGAGATTACGTTATTTTTATATGTCATAGTTGCTTCACACAATCGACTCGTATTTATTTCATCTCTTTGACTCAAAATAAATTCGAATGCCACGTAAGGTCGAGCTATCGAGATTCCGTTGCGGGACATCCCGTATAATAAGTGGAAGATAGTGCCGCTTTGGGTCAGTCGTGCGGACCTACCTAGATACAGTGTTCCAAAAAAGAAAACAAAACGAAGTTCAGAAAGAGTCTAGAATCCGCGAGCGAGACGCTACGACTTTGCGTCTAACGGTCAGTTTCTCACAGCAGTCCGAAAAATCGGCTCGCAATAATCCGAAAACGATCTGCTAGGCCGTGTCCAGAGGACGTCTCCTGTGCACCCGAGATTCAGCATAAATTCACACTAATAGCGCGGCTCTTACATTCTCGAAACTGTACTCGAATCCTAATCCTGCAAATTGCCTCGTGTCACCGTCGATGAGCGGCGAGTGACGTTTACTCCTTTGGCGATACTAAGAAATGGACTAAGTTGGAACTATAGTTAAGTCTAACGTCGCTATTTCATACTCCACTACCGTACTATGAAAACAACTTCGGCCTCGTATATGCTCGAGCAGAATTCAAAAAGTCTCGGGTATAACGCTTACGAACGTTTTTGGAAGTCCTAGTAACGGAGAGAGACAGTGATCGCCGTCCTCTTTCGATTTCCCTCGTCCTTTGCGCTCCGTCTTTACTCTTAATGAATGAATTTGTGAGCGACGGTTTACCCGTGGCCTTGAGGTCGCGTTAGCACTTCGCGAGTGTACTTCTTCTTCGAGTTGTGACAATCTTTCGCCATACCCTTCAGCACGCGCACACACACACACACACCCATACATCTCCGGATATATCTGTACTTTTATAGCTAATCCTGATCGTTTCGGTGACTCTGTACTCATCGCTGTATCACTATACCGGCCCTGCCGAGGCGATGTTATTAATATATTTCGATATATATCAATATTTTTGTCAACATTTTTCAAAATTCATAATATTAATATTGAATATCAATATTTCAATATACGGCTGCTCTAATTTGATACTGAGACATCTCTGAATAGCGAGAACAGAGAGAAAGAGAGAGAGAAAGAAAGTACTTTTTTTCAACATTCAAATTTTATTTTTAAGGAAAAAAGATTTCACAGTTCATAAATTTATCTAATATTGATATTCATCGATTTCATCGATCATCTCTCGATATTATGTTAGAGCAGTGTATACGAAGTATAATACATATTAATATACTCAAATATATTAATAACATTCCTTCAAAGTGTGTACACATCGCGTATGACTTAATTTACTTTGTGTGTTCAGAGCTTTGTATAAAATTAACCGTTAATTACGATTCACCGTAATCCTAACGACGAGCGGTAACGTCATCGCGCGCAACGCGATCTCCTCGTCGAGGAACGATACCTCCGATAGCCACGTGTACTTCTCGCAGGTAGAGCACGAGATCATTTCCGTGATCACCCGTCGTCGAACGCCGTCGATCTCAACGGGAGAGCCCACGAATAATCCATCGCTCCGCGACCGTTCCGCGATGATGAGCTCCCGCGCATCTACGCGGAACTGGTCCGTCTCCGACTGCGCATCTTCCAGAAGCGCCGGTCCCTCGACGTATGATGGATGGAGATCGTGTTCTGCGCCCTCGTGCCCTTCTCTGGCATGTACATTCGCAATAATCGCGCTGCCCTTTCTTCCTGCGACCTGTCCGCCGCTTTGCCGCTCAGGAAGCTCAACAGCTTCATGCTCCGTCTCTTTATTCTCAACCTGTTGAGAAAGTTGGACTCGCTGGTGCCGGCGGCGGCGCCAGACGGGCTCGCTCCGTTTTGGTCGTCGATCTCTTCCTCCAATCTTCTCGACCTCCGTTGCAGAAGCTGGTCACTCTGCCTTCTGCCTCTGTATTTTCTCTTGTCGCCCACTTCGGCACTTTCTCGCTGTAGCAGCACCTCACGCCGCCTCTCGGCGTTCATTTTCTCGGCATTGCGGGAACTGGTCTCCTCGGCTCGCCTCGCCACCGACTCTAGCTCGCGAAGGCGCTCGGCCTCCTTGTTGGAAGTGCGCGAACCGGGCGAGTCGGTCGCCGCGTCCAACGACGACGATGCCGCCGCGGCGCACGCCACATCGTCCACATCCGACAGTTTGCGGTGCAGGTCGACGATCTTCCGGCGGAACTCCTCGTCCTCCTGACTGAGCTTGGCGAAGATGCGATCGCGCTCTTCCACATTGCCGCCGAGGACGCCCTTGGCCGAGGAGGTCGTCGTTTGAAACCGCTGTCACCACCATCCGACCTGGTGCTTGCCGCCGCTACCTGGCGAGTCCTCTTCTTCGGGCAGCGGCTCCAGCCGCCTCCTGCCCAGGTAGCAGCGCAGCGAGCTCAGACTACCGCCGCCCAGCAGCTGGTCCATGCTCAGCTCCGGCAACGAGCAATCCTCGCTCTCCGACTCCTGGTCGCCGTCGTCCTCCGCTGATAGATTTAGACCGTAATTGTCCTCGCCACCTCCCGCGCCGCTGCTGCTGCCGGTGCCGTTCGGCGGCGGCTAGGGAAGTCAGGCACAGCTCGGGCTAGTGATTCTTTGGCAAAAACAGAGGGCAAGCGTTGTCATGCAGAGGCGTGCGAAGCTTATGAGCTATCTTGTCGGGCTGCATCTCGTGTCACGGGGTTGCTCTGCATCGCGACATGGGGACGTCGTTGTGTCGCGAAGAAATTGTATTAGTAAATTAGAATTTATAATTACACGTGTAATTAATTAATGGCACAAACGCGCACATCGCTAGCCAAAAGTTTAGAGTCACTTACTGATTATTCATAAAAACGAATTTTTCGACATATTCTGTTGTGATTTGATGTTGTTGTTTAAACTACAAAAGGTAATTTTTGGAAAGAATAAAAATATTAGAACTGCTCCAAAATTGTTTCTTCAACAAAGTCGTTCCATTGTTTAACTTATATAGTGATTCCAAAGTTTTGGCCGATAGTATATTAATTGGTGAATTAAATTTTGTAGTTGTGAATCTCATTGTATCGAGAAATCCCCGTAGTCTAGATACAGACACCTGTGACTCGTATCCCATAGTTAGTGCCAAATGTAGTCGCTTAATTGTTAGACGTAATCGTACAAGTTCATACTTCAATTAGTAATATTAGTGGTACCACTTAGCGATAAGTATGGGGCGTAACGTACGAGCTACAGTCTCCGAGACGATAAATAAGGTCGCAAAGTTGTTGTTAAACTCTAAAGCGGACTTTTGCAAACTATAATATACAAAAGACGATTGTGATTCCCACATTCACGCGGAGTGCGATTTAAGCGAGTCAATGCTTCGACGCTAGAAGTCGTTCATACAAGCAAGCTCTTTATAAAAATATAATGACGCGTCCCGAGCGATCACCTTTTGCGTTTGCAACGTTGTTCATTGAACGCAATGTAAACTGTAATTTTTATTACGAGCAACTTTCATCAAATATCTATACGGTATTTAGTTCGGGGAAAAGTTCGACAAAAGTTCTGGAAAGTTCGTAAAAAGTGGATCTAAATGTCAAATACAAGAAGAACGTCAAATTCCGTTGCGCGAATATCGTGAGCGCTCGACACGCGATGAAATCCGTCGCAACGATCGGAACTCGATTTATTGTGCAGACTTCCAAGCTTTAACTATCATTGTCGGATGCGAATCGAAGTGTCAATGGTCGCAAACGTTATTACCGAATTAGCGGTGAAACTCTCGTCGTCCGGCCCGCCGGAGGTCGGCGTGCCCCATATGTCGTCCCCCGAAGTCGCTCCGGACGTAGTACCCTCCTCGTCATTCGGATCCAATGAGAACTCGGTCCTCTCCGGCGGTACCGGTGGGTGAAGCAGGTAACCGCCGACATTCTCGCCGAGTTGCTCCAAAAGAACCATCTTGCTAACGACGTAGTTGCTCGCTCGAGCAGTCCACGCTCTCAAGCCGGACGGTGGCGACTCTGAGTCCCTGTTGTCGTCGTCCCCCTGCTCGTCCAGCTCGTCATCCTGATCCAAGCTACTCATTGTGCCAAACCGCCTCAAGGCTCTGCATAAGTCGTTAAGCAAAAGCATTAGTAATCAGTACGTCGAAATTTAGAGCGCACTTCCTATAAATTTTAAAGCTCCTTGTACTTCACCGCGGCTATGTTGAATTTGTGACGTCAGAAGCGAGGAACGATATACTGACGAAAATTGCATGCCATTTCTACACGGAAAAAAAGATTTGCTAATATATGGACAACTAAAAATATTAAGTGCAGGGACAAATTTTCTTGCTTTCATAATAAAAGTTATTTAGTTGTGACAGCTAAAAGATTTGCTAATATATGGACAACTAAAAATATTAAGTGCAGGGACAAATTTTCTTGCTTTCATAATAAAAGTTATTTAGTTGTGACAGCTAAAAGATTTGCTAATATATATATTAACAATATATATTAGCTAATATATATATTTAGTTGTCCATATATTTTTTAGCAAATATTTTTTTCCGTGTAAGTAAAGATAAGTGTGGACGAAAGAGCACTTGTAAAATTGTCCGAAAAATATATCCCTTTCCCCTGACCATCAATTCCCTGATAATCAATAAATAGTATATAATAAATAGTGAAATGAGATACGCAACAAAATAGACTTATTTCATCATTTAACATGTCTCAAGAGATTCGAACAATTTTACAAATGTGCAATCTTAAATGCTGTTTAGTCCATATTTATCTTTATTCAGAAATGGCACGCAACTTTCGTCAACATATTTCATTTCTCGCTTCTGACGTCACAAATCCGACATAGTCGGCAAAGTATAAAAAGCTTTAATATGATCTTCGGTGGTTTACCGCTACCTATAAGGAGGTTCTCCATCGCAATCAAGGTCATCCTCGCTGCCATCCTCGGTATTGCCATCCGCTGGCGTATAACTGGGACTGTTACGTCCCGGACTGTCGTGCAGTCCGTTTCGCAGTCTGTGTCTCGTACAAAGATCGGGCGTTGGTGGTAGGACCGAGATCTTCGGCAACGGTGAAAACGGGTCTCTCGCCAACGGAGGCGTAGGGCATCCCGATCTGCAATGATGAATCACCATTATTTTCTAAGAATAGCAAAATTAGTTTCTTACTTTATCTTATTTTTAACAAAATTATAACAAAATTATTTTCTTATTTTTATTTCATTATCATAAGAAAATTTTCTTATTCTTATCGCGTTTGTCTCTATAATGATTGAAGAGAAATTCGATACGTTAATTTTTTAATCATTTACATTTCAGTTTGACACTTTATATGGTAGTAATAGGCGCTGAATAATATATCTATTTTTTACGCATTAATTACCTGTGGCATCTCCGGCAGATGTTGATCGAACTCGTCGAGTTCTCTTTTGAAGACATGTGGCTGCCATTTTTTCGCGTCATACTGTTCGACTTGACAGTGCTCAGACTGGCGCTCGACGCTGTGCTCTGTTGCTCCACGTCGGAATTCGCCGTGACAATCTCCTCCGTCACGGTATCCTGAATCGATCGGCTGTTGCTTTCTCGAGGAGCTCTAGCCGCCAGTTCCTCGGCCGTCCATTCCTCGAGAGAGCCCTCGTGATCCGGCGGCGGAATCTGATGCGAATTGCGCACCCACTGCGCCAGGTGATTGTTCTCTCGCGAGCTCTTCAGGATAGCTTCCAGACTCTCGCCGGAGTGCGATTCCTTCTCTTCCTCGTCGACTTGCCGAGGCTCTCTTACAACCTACCGCGTGGATTTTAAGATTTAGGCAGTACAATTTTGCAAAATCAAGTCGTTCTTCGAATCTAACAAAACTCTTTCAACCAATTTTGTTTGGAATAAGCTCTTCTGGAGTTATACTTGTTATCATTGTACACTGAAAGAAGAAAAAATATCTAAAAAATAAAGTATATTTGTATTCGGTCGGTATTAATAATATGTTTACTCAAATTTAAATTTTTTATTAGATATAGAATTCTATACAATAATCTATAAATAAAATAAACAATTACTTTCATAAAAAACTAAAATTCCAAGAACATGTATATTTTGTATTTGAAAAATGTTTTATATTAATATAAACAAATGTCATTAGTACCCAGCGAATAAATACTTTTTGTTTTATACAAGTAAATCTATTCAAAAGGTACACTCCGATTTCTTTGTAATTTGGCATAAATGTAGAAGTACAAAAAATATTTAAATCATATTTTTTTATTTTGGCCTATTGCGAGTTTCACGAGCAGTTTATAGCTTTTTAATATTCTCACTCCTATCATCAAGTATAAAAAAATGCATAAAAAATAAAATTGAATACAAGATATAGTTAAATGATAGTAATAAAATCGGCATAGCTGAGACACGAACCAGTCTAAATTTCTTTAGCTGGGATTCCAACCAAAATATTTTAAATCTATGCTAAATTAATCTATGTCAAAAATTGTTCGAATTTCAGCCAAACCGAAAGAGAGAGAAATCCGACAATTTTAATTAAAATTTCGTGATTTCTCTCGGTTTGGCCGAGATTTGAACCATTTTTGACTAATTTAGCACAGATTTAAAATATTTTGGTTGGAATCTCGGCTAAAGAAATTTAGAATGGTTTGTGTCTCAGCTATGCCGATTTTGTTAAAATTATTTAACTATATTTTATATTAAATTTTATTTCTTATGTATTTTTGTTGCACTTGTTAATGATAAGAGTGAAAAAAAGCTATAAACTGTCCGTGAAACTCAAAATGAGCCAAAATAAAAAAAATATGACCTAAATATTTTTTGTACTTCTACATTTGTGTCAAATTAGAAAGAAACCGGAGTGTACTTTTTGAATAGGTTTACTTGTTAAATATTTTTTCTCTCAGTGTAGTAGAGTGAGATCTTTCACTTACCTGTGGACTGTTCGTGAGCTCCCTAGTCACGGCGAAATTGCTACCAACAATCGGGTTCTCTTCGGGGCTATCCTGTGCCGACGAGCTCAAGCCACAGCCTGTATTCACATAGATGCTAGAATGAAATGAAAATCGTACGCGTGAATACTACTTTGGATGCGACACGCTCGAGACTCCGCCTGTATCCTATTTCCGCGTCGAAATTCCGCGAGACGCAGCATAAGCGTGCGCTCGCGTGAACCAGATCCGCCACTCACATTTGTCGCTGAAGAAGATTGTGCCAAACTGCCTTGAGCTCCGGGCTAGGCGCACGGAGGACGAGGACACGTCTTCGAAGGCGACTATGGGGGCTGCAGCCGCCGCTGTTTACCACCTCGGCGTGGCCGTTCTCCGCGTTGCCGTTCGCGTTTACAGAGACCTGCAGTCGAAACTCCGTCGGCTTCTTTCGCACGTTGAAGCACGCCTCGGCGATGCTGGACAGTCGTAGAGGCTCTTCGGTGACGAAGAGCACGCGGTCCCTCGATACTCGCGCGAACACCAGAAGGTCCGTTAACAGCAGCGCCCAAGACGGCTGCAGCCGCGCTCGGCCTTCCACTTTGGCGAGGGCGCCGCCAAAGAGCCTGAAACGCATTCAAATTTTTCATAATAACGAAATTATCGCAATTTAGAACGAATCTCTGTAAGTGAAAAATAATTATTTGCTATTTTCTACTTGCAGATTCGGTCGAAATTTCAATGATTTCGTCTTGATTGTAAATTAACAGTTAAAATTAAAAATAATATATATATATATATATATATATATATATATATATATATATATATATATAT